GACGACGACGACGACGACGACGACGACGACGACGACGACGACGACGACGACTGCGGTAGAGATGGTGTTCGTTGGTGGCGGTGGATTTAAAGTAAGGGGTAGGTATCATTGTTTGCAACGCTTTTCTTCCCTTACCGTGATAGAATAACTCTTTGAAAAGGAATAAAAGCACTACTCTATCAGGTTAGGTTTGTAAAGAAAGTAAAAGAGAGAGAGAGAGAGAGAGAGAGGGAGAGAGAGTGAGGCGGATTTGAGACGATCAACGATGGCGGCTGCAGTGTTGAAGGAGAAATCCTACTGTGTAAGTGTAAGTATATGAGTGTGTGTGTGTCTGGTTGAGAGATGCATACTCAAGGAACTCTTTTCCTGAAGTACCGCCACCGCAGCAAGAAGTCGCACTGGTTCCATTGTCTCCATTGTTGCCCGAATCGTAATCAATATTTTCACAATATGGCGCCATTGTCTCTGGCACGAGCGCGATGCGAGGGTGCTTTACGTTCGCCGGGAACTGCACTGCACTACCACTCTCTCTCTCTCTCTTTCTTTCTTTCTCTTTTCGATCCTTCGAGGTAAAAGGGCCACTCCCACTTTCTTCCTTATCCCTCCTTCCTCCCTTATTTCTTTGACTATCTTTTTCCTTCTTGCTAACCGTTGCAATCTACTTTCTAGCCTTATTCTTCGATCTCATCTTCCATTTTGTTCAACCATCACTGCTCCTCAAGATTGTCGCCCTGATTCTCTTCTTTTTTCTTTCTTTTTTTTAGATTCGTCTCCATTCATAGATTTTTCTCTGCGTGTAATTTTTAACAACAATCCTGAGAACAGTTTCCTCTGAGCTAAACAAACTTTTTGGTTTTATCTAGAAATTCCTGATTTATTAAGTGTAACTATAGTTTCAATTTATGTCAACGATTATTCATCGTCACGTTAGTAACATCGAATTATTTGTAAGAAATTTTTTGATATCTTTGAAACGACTTTTCGATTTATTCGAGAACCCTTTTCACCTAACTTTTAAAATACATCAATGTCAATATTTCCTTTTGAAATGAAAGAAAAACTTCGTGTGGTGCTTTATTATAAGAATGCAATTTTTGTTCGAATTTTATATAAGAATGTAGGAAAGAATGATAGACCACAAAAAAGACATCCGTCTCAAATGTACTTTATTTGAGTTTCAACAAAGCCTCTTGTTAGCAACAATATACTAATAATAATTATGGTTATCGAAAATAAACAATTTGAAAAAACATGGCACGTGTATACAAAGATATTATTTTTTGATTTATGAGTTTTCTGTCCCTCTCATTTTTTTTGATCCACTGTTCGATCTCAAGGTAAAACCTGGGATTCCTTTTCTTTGACGCATACGAGGTCACTTTGACTAACGTTTTTTACAAATATTTTCGAATCTACTAAGGAGGT